CTTTCCCTATAGGAACACTAATGCTAGGTAACAGAAAAGGGTAAATATATTTTAAAAAAACCCACAACCCTAGCATACAGGAAAATATTGTATCTCATGTACAATTATACCAACAAAATGAATCTGTATACACAATGATGGGTTATACTTGTACAAACTATATTCTAAGGCAACCTGCAGTTAGCCTACAGGCTAACATGTGATTTAAAAATGAGAAGTACACTTTCAAAACCTGAGTATTCCATACGTTAGAACTTTAAAACATATTAGACCGTAAGATCTCCCAGACTGCAGAGATGGATTAGAACAAAGCCCATCCCAAATACCACATTTTGGCATCCTTTGAGGTGTCAGTATGGGCAAATGTGACAGCTTTATGCTCTTTCCTGTACAAAGATGCAATTTAAGCAGATGCAGCTACTAAAACATTGAGATAAGCAAGAAAATAGAGCACCATATGTAATTTGGGAGACTGAGAAATGGTGCTGACCCGCCATGTTAGGTATGAATACTTGGTGAAAGGCAGGGGAATAACATCATCTTGGTATCACATGAAATCTACACACAAAGTTGCTGTACAGCAGAGCTGTAGCAGAGAGAAAGAAGCCATCGTCACTTAATGACAATTAAAAAGAGCATTGCTCAAGAATCTGGGAAGGGGACAGCTTTCACAATCCTCAGTTATAAGCTTATACTCCAAGAGACTCAAAAGCCCACATGTGTCTTTCCAGCCAGGCAGCTACTTGGGGCAATACTCACATTCTACCAGGGCCTTTGAGCAGGAGTTTGTAGGGTCTGAGCAAGACCCTCAGCTCTATCTTCACCTCTAAAGAGGAGCAAAAAGTTTGCGACCTATCATTCAAAGTAAGCACTCTATTTGATTAAAGCATCTCGAGGGTGAATCAAATAAGCATCTATCCCCTGCAGTCTTTTTCCTGTAACTCGCAGTCTAAACAGGTAGACAGATGGATCATTTCAGCAGGTATTTGCTGTTTAATCTGGAAGAGAAGTTTCACAACTTAACATTCCAGTATCACAAAGTATAAGATTCGTTAAACAAATGTAACTTTTTCTTTGATTTTTATTTTATTTTAAAATTAAACAGCCAGAAACAAAACAAAATAGAAAGATATGCAAGACGTTTTTCCACAAGCCTGGGAAACTTGAACAATTTTATAAAGAAAGCACTACTTTAAGAACAGTTAATAATATAAGGCTTGATATCCTAGTCTTCCAAGATCAATTTAGTCTGGAATTCCTACTAACAAAATTTAAAAATGGACACCCTCTCTCCTCCCCCCATCTTTTTTCACCATAATGAAGCAACTTTAGGCAGACAAGACAAAGTCCTAAGTCTAGAAGTTAGCAAATCACATTCTTCTATCTCGATTAGCACATGCTGAGCAAATATAGCCCAAATATTTAAAAATATACAAAGCTGTTAAACTGTAGGAGAGCTTGCTTCCTAAAATGGATTTAACTATCCTATAAAATGGCCAGCATCGTTCTTCCTGAACCGATAGCTTCCCCAGAGGATTTAAGTGTCACATCCCAATCACTGGGCTGTCCTTCAAACAAACTGAAACAGATGCATCAAGCCCACTCTCTTCATTTCATTCATTCCTTTCCACCTACATTAAATTGTTTTGACAAGCCAGGACAAACAGCAAGGCTTCCCAGCACGTGACCAGCAGTCTTGCAGTGCCAGGGGCCTGAACAGAGACAGGCAGCAAGTGAAACAATTGTTCAGCTCAGAACGATTCAATAAGCTTTTCTTGGCTGTTTGCATTTATCCATGTACTTCCCCTCTGATTTCTTTTGGTCAGAAGAGAGCTATCAGAGGTGTTCACACCATTCAGTGGAAAACAGGGATCTTGGTCATTCATGATAAACCAGGTACTGGCTTACTCTGTCACTAATGTGCTTAATTACAGAGGCATGAATTACACTCAGAACTGTTACTACCCTTTCTAGCCCTGTACCCAGGTGCCTTATATAAATGCACAAAACCTCAACCCAAAACCACCCCCCATCCCCAAGATGAGCTATTGTACCAAGCCACAAAAAAAAAAGCTCATCAGCAAAAAAATGCCTATATTCCTCTGGTGATTTTTCCAGCCAAGTCTTAATATCTATTCAGCACCCTTCATGAAGAAAGAAAATACATTTCTGGCACATAAATTCATCTCAAATTTCAACTTAGTTACTCACATAGCCATTGAGTCTACTGAGTAATTTCTTATACGTTTCCCTTTAACTTTCCACAGTCCTTCCAAGTTCTGTCCTATTAACATCGTAACAAGAAATCA